GATAAATTCAGTTATAAAAACTTGTATTTTTATAAATATCTATCTTCTCTTAACAAATAATGGTATCCCTTAAAAATAAGTAGCTATTTTAAAAGCGTAATGTTATTTAAATAATATAAGTACTAAAATGTTTATAGAAAACAAGATAATGTAGTTTTAAAAAAAGTTCTAACAGTAAAAGAATCTACAGTTATATTTTGTCACTAGCAAACGGATGTGACGTTCGAGTCAGCTGATATTGAGAAGTTGGCTGTGGTCATCTGTCAGGACGCCATTGTTATTGTGAAAATTTTGTTGTGGTGGCTTACATTGTTGTTTGTCCCTTAAAATAGCCTGCGATATCTCACAATTAACATCAGGATAAATCATTCATGTGTATATATCGTTCAATAAATTGAACGGAATTGAAAAGTCATAATGGGTCTTATTTGTTCTACAGCGCAGGTAAAAAGATTAAATTGTAAATAACATCCATATTCTTTTTTTCTGAAAGCATCATCAAACAGTGTTTATTAATTCTCTACATACTTTGAAGAATTTAATTCGGTAACTTCCTCATTCTTTTTCTTGTTTTTAAAGTAATACTATTTTTTATGTAACAAATCACTATTCGGGGAAAGTCCGGTGAATCATCGCAACTTAATTATGGCTTTTATCATTTCATTAAACATTATATTGATATTTAAAGATGTTAAAGAAAGATTGCAAAAATATTTTGTTGTATCAAATAAAATCGTTATGCTCATCAAATAATACTTTCCTGATGCAAGGTTAAAAAGAAAAATTGACTATTTAATTGTAATAAAAATTAAGAATATTTTTTATTTAAAGTTCAATTTAAATAAAAGTTGTAGAACAAAAATATAATTATACATGTTAATTTCTATTTTAACATAAATAAAGAAAATGTAACATAGAAAAAACAAACGTTTAATACGTATATCATTATATAATTCATATTGATTTGAATATTTTGTTGTATAGCTTGCTTGCCTTTGTGGGAGCACAGCTTGTAGCTTCTGTTGCTCCCAATGTCCAACATGTCGCAACAGCACAAGTACTCGTATTATGTATGCAATGTTATTAATGCTAGGAACAATAGCTGCCTGCATTACATTAGCACCTGGTTTACAGGATGCACTTAAGAAGGTAAGATTTTGAAATATAAAATTATGACGAGTATAAAAAGAGATACATTTGTTTATGCACATGTTATTCTCATATTTCTAGGTACCATTCTGTACCAACAGTACAAATTATGTTCCATCAAAATTCACTGTTGATTGTGAATCTGCTGTTGGATATTTAGCAGTATATAGAATATGTTTTATTATAGCTCTATATTTCTTTTTGATGTCAGTCATGATGATAAGAGTAAGAAGCTCCAAAGATCCTCGAGCACCTATACAAAATGGGTATGGTAAAATAATGCATTATGTGATACATTACTAATAACTGTTTTTAATATGATTCATATGTTTAGATTCTGGGCCATTAAATATCTTTTAATAATTGGTGGAATTATTGGTGCATTTTTCATACCTGAAAAATCATTTGGAATAACATGGATGTATTTTGGAATGATAGGTGGTTTTCTTTTTGTTATTATTCAATTAATCCTTATTGTTGATTTTGCCCATTCATGGGCAGAGGTTTGGGTCACCAATTATAATGAGACTGAATCAAAAGGATGGTATGTGTAATTATGTATTTAATTGTAACTAAGTTACAATAAAAAATAAAATAAGTTTGTATAACTAAATATCTTTTAGGTATGTTGCACTTTTGGGAGCTACATTGTTTAATTATGCTGTTTCTATTACCGGAATTGTTTTACTTTTCATATACTTTACACATGTAAGTATTTGTATAACATAGTTATGATTTTTATCAACACTTACTCTTTAAATTCATTTTTGTTTTGTATTGTTTTTTATTATAGGCAAATAGTTGTGGATTGAACAAATTTTTCATATCTTTCAACCTAATCTTGTGTATAATTGCTAGTATTATATCAACTCTTCCACAAATACAAGAATATCAACCACGATCTGGTCTTCTTCAATCATCTGTTGTTTCCTTGTATGTTGTTTATTTAACTTGGAGTGGAATTTCAAATAGCCCAGGTATATGCTCTAAATGTATAAACATAGAATATTAATAATGGGTTATTTTTTTATATAGCAACTGTATTTTATATTATTCATAGATCATGAGTGCAATCCTGGATTCTTCGAAATAATTTCTGGCAATGATCCTGCTGCTCGAAATCGAGTTGCTTTTGATAAAGAAAGCATTATTGGTTTAATTATCTGGTTCAGCTGCGTACTGTATAGTTCTTTACGTACTGCATCCGAGTCATCAAAACTTACATTTTCTGACAAAGTATTGGTCGAGGATAATGGAGCTGGTATGTAAAAGTGGTTACACATTTGTATTATTGATGTTTGCTTTCTAGTATTCAAGTTAAATAATAATGAAACATAATTATAATTGTTCATAAAACGTATATGAAATTATAAACACATTCATTTGTAGCTTTAACAACTGACTTTTAAATATACACTAATAACTGGTTAAAATTGCTTTAATAAAATGCACTTTCTTCATACAGTCAGAAATGCAGGAGACCAGAGTCTTATCGACCATGAAGGTAGGCACACACTATTCAGTTAAAATAGAACTTAAATTCAGTATATTTATTTTTTGTTTACTTTTATCATTGAAAAATATAGCATCACATTGTATGTATTAAACATTTTATAGTCATACATTTGCATAAATTCGGTTATCAAATTTTAGTACAAATATCTCCTACAGTATTTATTTTTTTAAAGCAATTTTGCAAGTACATGTATAATATACATAGTTTCTATTACAATTGATATTTGCTTAGTAGTTAGCGTGTGCCTGCTTTCACTGTTTTACGTTATTATCTTTTCTCATTTTACGTTTTATTTTGCACTTTCCAAACTAATTATAGTATTTCTAATTATTACAGTATTATAAGTATTTCGTAACTAAAATTAATTTTTACGTTACATTAAAAAACTTTTTTTGTAGCTTTTATTCCTTAAAACATGTGATGCTGTTCTATTTAAAACTTTTTTCTTATTACATACACACAGTTTGAAACAAATTTAATGTGTATGCAATAACATTTGTGAATTGTAATTTTTAACAATAGCAGGGACATTTGGAAAATCAATAACTGTACTGTAGATGTATATTTTCTTTCAAGTTATGTTTCCTTTTCCTAAATGTAACCAGATTATACTCCGGTAGAAGGTCGCAATCCTGATTCAGAACCTGGAAATGAGGCTAAAGTTTGGGACAATGAAGAGAACACAGTTGCTTACAATTGGAGTTTCTTCCATCTGATGTTTGCTCTTGCCACTTTATATGTTATGATGACTCTTACCAATTGGTATCAGTAAGTATTTACATTATTATTTATTTCCGATAAAATTACATAATTTTTTCTTTTTACATATAAATTACATTATTTTTATAGACCAAACTCCAATTTGGATACCTTGAACTCTAATGCTGCTTCAATGTGGGTAAAAATTATATCTTCCTGGATGTGTTTAGGTCTGTATGTTTGGACACTGATTGCTCCTGCAGTATTAACAAATCGAGAGTTTTCTTAAATACACAACTTTCAACTTGGAAGATAATTAGCAGGTATAAAAAGTCATATAATACAGAATGATTATTATTAAAACATTTTTTTACATATAAGTTTTATTATATTTTATGAGCTTCCGCAGAGATGTCGAATTCATACGATACACATTTATGGAAAAATTGATTACATAATTAAATTACCACAAATACAGTTATGATATACCTTTCAAAATCATACAT